TACATATTTATTGGTCATGGTAAAACAATGTGATACATATATATTATATGTCATGTTCAAATAAGGATAATCGGCATTTTTGTCTCTTCGAGTATCATTTCTATGAACTGGGAAATTTTGAACTCTTACTTGCGGGTTATTTTTAAATACCTCCTAAACTGATGTGGACTGCAGTTAGTGACTGTGCTACAGAACCTGAGCACTAGTTCTTCCCATCTGTGCTTCATTACCTGTCAGCGAACCTCGCTTTATCTCCCCCGGCTCCCTTTATAGCTCCGTGCAAAGGCCCTGAGTTCAATCCTCAGTACCGCGTGGAAAAAGAATGTTCACAAGGAAACAAAGAAATTCTCTATCAGAAACAGCTGCTCGCCCCTGCTTATGCAGCATTATTCACAGTTGCCAAAATATAGACTCAACTAAGGTATCCATGAAAAGGTGAAAGTAAAAGAGAATGGCGTGGATAATGCATCGAGGAATGTTACTGAGCCATGGAAAATAGCAGAATCCTGTCATCTGCAGCAACATGGACATCATGTGAAATGAAATAAGCCAAGAACAGAAGGCAAGAACTTACTTTTTTCACTGATTTTTGAAGCTTAAAATGTTGGTCTATAAAAGATTTTAATTTTTAAAGTACAGATATTCTTTATTTAATGGCCTACCTATTTAATGACTCTTCAGACTTACAACTGAGGCATGCTATTCAGGTTTACAACCTGTCTTTCTGTACAGTTCTGTACATCTTGTTTATAGTCTCAGTGTCTTTATTGCACAACATACCTTATTTATACAGTGCTGTAATTTTTGCTGCCTGTGCTAGTCAGTACTGTAGTTTTATGTTCTGTTGTACATTACAGGGCTGCATGTAAGAGTTGCGGAAACAAAAGCAAAGTCATCAAGATGGAGTTTCCTCTGACCGTTTCTTTGTTCTGAATGTTGTAATGTACATCCTCATTTAGCAATGAATTCAGTTCACGATCTAGTTGCAGGACCATAACTCAGTCCCTAAGCTAGAAATGTCTGTAATACATCACGCTCTTCTGGTAAACTCTCCAGTACAATCAGAAAAGCCCAACCGTCCCATAGTTTTGTGTCCCTCACTCCCTTCCTAAGCACCTATTGTAGCAGCCCCCCGACTCCCCTTCAGTAAACTCTTTACTCCAGTTGACCACAGTGGCCATCTGTGTAGCTTTTCTCACGGTCCAGACTCACAGTATCCCATTTTGCACACCCGGCAAAGCCGCCTCTATCCGCAAACCTTGTCCCTCCTATCCAGTCTCAGACTCCCAGCTCAAGGATCTGATTCCAACCCTAGATACATTAGTCAGGCTTCAGGGCAGAAAACAAATCACACATCCACACCTTACACCAGAAGAGGGTCCGCAAAGAGAACTAAGTCCTTGCCGAATCCTGGGAAGGCTGGAGAAGCAGTTCCAGGTGGACACACTGCTGGCCTGGTCCACCCCAGAGCTACTTCTGCTGTGGCCAGTGGAGCCCTGCAGGTCTGTGCCTGCAGCCTCTGCCTGGATCTGGGGAACGGACACCCTGGTCTGTGCTCGGGGTTTCAGAGTTTGGTAAAGAACTCCCTGTGGAGGTTCTACAGGAAGCTGGGAAATGACGACTGGAACGAAACCATCACCTTCCTCTTCCAGAGGAGGCCAGGGCACAGGAGGGCGGCTTCCTGACCTCCACCTACCTGACCTCAGGTGGCTGTGGAGACCTCGTGTTGTTTTTAGCCTTCCAAACCCTACGCCTACCGCATTGTCATAAATGCTGCTCGTGTCTTACACAGTTTGTTCCTATGGAATTTATCTTTATTGTCGCCGGTGTGAATGAGACTATTCCCCCATTACATTGTCTAATTGGTTGCTGATAAATAAGAACATTAACATCTGCGTATTAATTCGTACTCGGTATAAAATCTCCCAGTTCGTGGTAGTGACTTCCCTTGAGACTTCAGTTGCACCACCTCATAGCCCTCTCCTCTGTCTTGTTTCTGACATTAAGGAAATGCTTCTGGCACCCACTCAGCAAGTGGGACGAATATAATGAATCAGGAAGTGAGACTCTGTCCATTCCATTCTTACTGAGAGACAGGCTTTTCTTTGTAACTTACCAAGGATGAATGCTGAATTTAATTATATGCCTCATGATTTTTTTCTTAGTGATAGTGAATTCTGTTAATAGCTTTCTTTACTTAGCCTTTATTCTGACAGAAGTGGATGGGCCCCTGGGAGTTCTGAGCAGATGAATGGCATCATCTTAACAGGGCAGAGACACAGGTGGGAGCTGGCTACCGTGACGACGGAGGTGGTCAGTAGATGGCTCCTCCTGGGGTGGGAGCAACAGAAGTGGGAGCGGCTGGGCTCTAGGAATGTCTTGAAGGTAGAGTTCTCAGGAACCGAGGACATAATGGATGGAAAGCATGTGTGGGTCAAGAGAGGCTTGAGGTGGAGAAGACTATGGGGGACCCGACCGGGAGGAGGCAGGAGTGTGTGGAGGGCACTCCTGAGTCTGAGATGCTGCAGGGAAATCTGAGTTGGTCTAAGGCCTCTGGCTTCGGTGGAGGTGGCGGGGGTGCTGGTGTCGCGCTGTCTCCCAAAGCCTCACATGGCCACAGGTGGGGATTTCTCAGAGGAGGTGGGGTCTGGAGTGTGTGATGCTAGAACTGACTCACGATGCAGTGCTAGGCTAGCACAGTATTAAAGGCGTGAGTGCTGCCTTCCCTAAGCAGCCTGGATAAGGTCAAAGGGATAGAAAGATACTGTTAAAGTCCCTTGTTGCTTTTACTACCTCGTGTACACCATGACTGTTTTTTCTGTTGCCCCTCTGCTCTGCCACCCTGCCTTGGAGCCAGATGATTATGAATTGAAACCTCTACAAACTGTGAGCTCAATAAACCTTTCCTCCTTTAACTTTGGGTGTCGGGTATTTTGTCTCAGCAATGAAAGAAAAGTAACTAAGGCATTGGCTGTCTCCAAGGCAGGGAGGCATGGCAGAAGGGCATTGCAGAGGAGAAATTGTCCATGGCAGGGTAGGCAGAAGGCAGCAAGCAGCAGCAGCAGCAGTCTGCCTTCCTTTTCTCCCTTTATATTCCATCCAGGCTATAAACCCATTGATTGGTGCCACTCACACCCAGGTTGGGCTTTCCCATTACCCACACCCAGAACTATACTAAACCCATTTAGTTATCACACATACTCAATCCCACTATCACACACCCTGGATCCAGCTACTTCAGGCAAGCCCCGCCTGTGAGGACATGAGCCTTTGGGGGCCCTCTAGATTGAAGCCATAACAGATCAAGCTCTCAGCTCTTGAGTCTTTTGGGGACTCTTCACATTTCAACCAGAATAAAAGGATTAGACAGACACTCCAGGCAAATTTAAACATGAATAAGGCCCAAATCATGATCTTAGTACAACTGAATTCGGAGTAAAAAACAGCCCAGTATGGTGGTGCATGCCTGCAATCCTAGCACTGTAGGAAGCTGAGGCAGGAGGATCTCAAGTTCAAGCCCAGCCTGGGAACTTTAGCACAGCTAGGGATGTAGCTCAGTGTGAAAGACCTGGGTTTGATCCCTAGTACTGGAAAAAAAGAGAAAGTAATAAACAAGAGAAAGTGTGGGGGGGCGTAGAATGCTAAGCTGTAGACTTCAAGATAAACTCCCACTCTTGCTTCTCTCCACTGTCTCTGAACACTGCTCCTGTTAAGACTCAGCTGTTGTACCCTCTCCTCCAGAGCCTCAATCCTGCTGTGGCCACTGGCTCTCTGAGATCAGCAATATGAGCATGCATTTTCCCCTCTTACAAGACTTGTTTCGAAAGGTTCTCATTGTGTGAGAAGGACTTGCTGGATACCTCCAGGTCCCCTGCAGGGTGGAAACTCCAGGATTCTATGTGATCACTGCCAACTTACTGCAATTCATGGAGAGAACCCCTATTTCCTGTGGCAAATGAAAATGTGTAACAAAAACAGCGGCCAAACTGAAACCATGGTCTTCAGAGTATGACGCAGACTGTGGACACTACTGTTCCTCTTTCTCTGGCCGCTCTGGGCTGCCTCAGTGGGTCTTCTTGTTCTCCGGCCCCTGCTGGGTTCAGTCCATGGGGCACTGGCTGAAGACAGGTGGGAGGGTGGTGCTCTCTCTCTCTCTGGGCCACTCCCAGCCCCCGTCCCCCATGAGGTTTACACCTTTGTGGTAAAAGCCACTCAAACCAGCACCTGTGTGGGTGCTGCCTGTGTCCTGGTACTCGTGTACCAGCCATGTTTGTTGCCCTGCGCGCCTTCCAGCATCTCCAATCTGCCCTGGACTCTTCCCTGCCAGACTCAGACCCGCTTTGGGTTTGTTTGCTTATTTGTTGTTTTGAGACAGGGTCTTAGCAAGTTGCCTATGCTGGCCTCAACTCTGTGATTCTCCTGCCTCAGCCTGCCAAGTAGCTCAAAGACTGAGATTTTAATGAAGGCAATTTAACACTGGCTTTTCAGGAGGCAAGTATGACATAATGAAAACTGTTTTGACTTCTAGAAGGTGATGGATAAAAAGTCTTTGCAGGGCTGTGAATGTAGGTAGGGGTAGAGTACGCTCCTAGCACACAGGAGGCCCTGGGCTCCATCCTTAGTACACACACACACACACACACACACACACACACACACACACAGTTTATATAGAGCCATCCATGGTGGTGCAACCTGTAATCCCAGCACTCTGGGAGGCTGAGGCAGGAGGACTGCAAGCCCAAGCCCAAGCCCAGCACAGGCAACCTAGCAGCTTAATAAGATCCTCTCAAAATAAAAAAATAAAAAAGGGCTGGGGTGTAGCTTAGGGTGAAGGCCCTGAGTTGGATCCCCAGGACTGAGAAAAGAAGCAGTTGTGAGAGACAATATATTCTGATTATATAAATTTACATTTAAAACATATGACATCTAACAGCAAGGTTTAAAGCAAATCAGTAATAGACAAATATTACATGTCATGTTTTAAAATGTCGCAATGTATTAAGCCAAAACAAATGGAGAAAACGACCTTTACATTTATGTGCATGATATTCTCGATGCTTTCCATATTGAGACCTAGGAATGAGAAACAGAAATTTGATTTCACGTATGGAAAGATCTGGCTCTTCCTCCCGGACTGAATCCTGGTGAGGGCTTTGTAAGACTTAAAGTCTCACTTCCACTCCACGGAGCGTGAACAGCCGATAGGGCCTCCACGATGCTGAGTCCTATAGCCTAACGATGGCTCCGGAGGCAAGACCCAGGCCTTACTTCCGAAAGCCATGAACAGCCAAAAAGGCCTCCATGATGCTGGGCCCTAACACCCAGCGAGGCTCCGGGAGCTCGACGGAGAAACGAGAAACCCAGGAGGGAACACACCAGGCTGGATGGTAAAGAGACCTTTATTAGTCTGGCCAGACGGCACTCCCGGAGCCAGGTAGCTCAGAGAGGCAACTGCTCAGGGGCTGAGGTACTTTTTATAAGGTTTTTCTAAACAAAGAGTCAGGGAATTCACAGAACAAGACTGCAAACACATTGCTTATCTTATGCGGGAAATGTTCTAGGGTCACCTTTTGTTATACCGTCTGCTCCTGGGCAGGCCGTTAGCCAAGTTAGCAATTAGCATATGAAGAAGCACAGTCTGGCCTATTAGCATGGAGTCACTTTAGCTTATTCAAGTCTTAACAGTTTCACCCTCCCTGGTGTGGGGAATGTGAAACCCCTTCGTGGGGGGGGGACGACCCTCACCCAGGTATGCTGAATGTCCCAGGAAGGGATTTTACTCTGCCCCGCCATGGAGATCTGAGCCCAGAATGACCTTTGCCACCTGCCAAGTAGCCCAGCACACGATGTGGCTGCGACTGAACTGCCCTTGCAATTTCCAGTCTCAGCAAGGAAAAGGGCAGGTGGCTCCAGGTCCTCTTCTGTCTCCTGTGCCCAGAACCGGGCGTGGAGTAAAGCCAGGGAAGTCGACACCCAGACCCAGTTCCTCCCAGACCTTTCCATTACCTTATCTGAGAGATGAACGGTTGGGGCATCTGCTGTCACCTCTGGGCGGGAAACGGTGGGACCAGGGTGGGAAGGCTGGGCTGAGAGCTTTCCCCTCGCGCTGGAAGCCCTGCTCTGTGAGTTCGGGACCAAGCAGACCGGTTCAGCTGACCCAGGCAACTCTCATGTGCTTTTCTTTATGTGAAAGGAAACAAATTACTCACAAAAGAGTAAACAATAAGCAGTGTCGGGTGATAAATCAGAGCTGTCATTTTGCCTTTTAACCTAGTGGGGCTTAAGATATGCTCCGAATCCAGTATAAGAACATAAATGGGCAGAAATGAATGAATAACCATAACATCTCCAAAACGGAATTCCATCAGGCCTTCTTTTCAGGGATTTTGCAAAGGCTGAAGCATTAAAAAAAAAAAAAACCTCTTTATTATTATATTATTTTAATACAAGCTGATTAGATGGAATGAGACCACTTATTTTTCCAATTTCAAGTTGAAAATTATTAACAAAGTCACCTTTTCAAACTCAAGCTCTAAATTATTATTAGTGAAATTATGACTTCTCCAAATAGAAATGCTTAAGTAATGATTAGCTAACCAAACTATAACCCTCCCATTTATAAGGATAACCTGCCTGTGTCACTGCTAATGAAACGAATTAAATTTTCACAAGTGAGAGATATTTGTTGAGACTATCTGACTTGTTTTTTAATCACAATTTATAAAATCAAGAGGCTTTTTAAAGATAGTTTTATACAATGTTAATAAAGATAATATGAACTGGACAGTTTGGATTATAAGTACTCTCCTTTTAAAGAACATGTCATTTTAGTGAGATTTTTAGCTAGCAAAATCAAAGCATTTTAGTATATATGTATCAAATATTTAATCTGTTCAATGAAATATGAATGGATATTGTAATAAATATTTTTCCTACCTTAGTTTTCATGAAAAATGAAGTGTTTATTAAAATTGAACTTCTTACATAAAAGTCTAAAACATGTAACTCCCAGGTATCCAAAGAGGGGCCAGGCTACTTGTGCTGAACAGGAGGTACCCACCCAGCCCTGTTTGTTGAGTGTGGTAGCTTAGATCAAAGATGTCTCCTGTAGTCTCCCATGTGTGGAAGGTGATGGGATCATGGGGCAGGGCCTGGTGTGACCCGAAAGGATATATTCTTGTTCCTGTCTCCTTTCATCTCTCTCTCCCTCCCTCCCTCCCAGCTGCCACGACGTGACCAGCTTTCTGCCACCAGACGCTTCCACCATGCTGGTTCTGCCTTAGAGCCATGGACTGGACCTACTGAAACCATGAGCCAAGTAAACCTCTCCTCCTCTAAGTTGACAGTGTTGTATATTTTGTCCCAGTAATGGAAAACTGACAAAAACAATAAGAGCCTGGCTGCCAAGGCCTGTGTAGATGGTGCCATCAGGTGGAGGGGTGGGTGAGGTGACAGTTCCAGACCACCTCGAAAGGAGGGTATATAGCATGCATTCTGTATAATGGATTCCTCCCAAACACAGCTGCCTAAAACCACCAATATTCCTCACCTCACAACTTCTGAGAGCCAGGCGTGTGTCAGTGGCTGAAACTGGATATAGGCAGGCTGTCCCCTGGGGCTGCACATCTGGAGGGCTCACAGGACAGCCCCCACCGGGGACACCTCTCCTGACAGAGCAGCCGGTTGGCAGAGGGTAACCTCTGAGAGGCTGAGTCTCCTTTGAGCCCTGCATCCCCAAAGCCACGTGCCACCTTTTCTGTGTTGTTCTATTTGTTAGATGCAAGTCACTAAATCCAGCCCACATTCGACATTTTAAGCACCCACAGTGCACTGCACTCAGCCAGACTGTCCCCATGTCCAGTGGGTCCCGCCCCAGCCAGTGTCCACAGTATGTCCCTGGTGCTGGTGTTTAAGACACAGATCCAAATGCCACGCACCTCCGTAGAGTGGAGGATGAACACACCAGCCTTTCTGCGTGCCAAGGCCTTGTCAGAGATGGGCCTGTTTGGATGGTGGCATTGTTTCATGACATCCACGTAGCCAGCTGAACTCATTCCAAGCAAGCCTACTCTGCAGAGCTGGGCTTCTGACACTGTGTGCTGGGGTGGAAGGAGGGGCCAAGGAGAGAGGACACAGAGGGCCCTGAGGACAGTTTCTGGACAGTCACTCCAACATGAACCACGTCACAAAGTGCTGCCTGAAGAACTGACATTCACTCATCCACCCTTAGGCACATCTCTCTCCCAGGTGGTGGCAAAGCTGCCTAGGGCGGTTTGCTCCTGGCTGTGTGCTTCCAGGGGAAGGGAAGAAACAATTAAAACTGCTCTGGTTCACCCACTCCATTGTGATGTTTCCAGAGCGGCACAGAATCAATGTTGGCTGAATTGAAAAAAATGAAAAATAAGTCTGGGGATATCGCTCAGTGACAGAACCCTTGCCTTGCATGCACAAGGCTCCGGAATTTGATTCCCTAGTATAGAAATAAAACAAAGCAAAAATCCAAAACAGACACCTTGCCCAGGACATCACCTGTGGCAGTGGAGAACTCACCACCCTCCTCCCACCTCAGCACACCAAGGTGCAGCACCCCAGGCCTCTGTGCAGTCTGCTGCAGACTGGGGTGTAACTGGGAGGTTTGCCTTCCATAGTCCCACTTTCCTGCCATGTAGTGACAGGCACCCCGATAAAGTGGGGATTCTTTTACTGGGTTGCACAAAACAGAATTCTTTTAAAATGCATTTTTCCACTGCCACATTACAGTGATAATTAATATCCAAAATGATGTCGAGTGTCTGTCACACTCTGATGAACCTAACGAATAGTTAAAGGGAATGAAATCGTTTAGAATGGGATTTCATGCTTGGTTCAGTTGGAACCGAAACACTTGGGCTAGATGGTCCCTGGTGACTGCCAAATTCCCCAGTCACGAGCGAGAACAGGACGGGCTGCATCTCCATCCTCCGTGCTACGGGGAGCACATGAAACCCAAACCTGGAGCATCCACATCCTGGTGCGGCCGCCCAGGAGTCCAGCCCAGGGAGGCTCCAAAGCCGCCTTTTCCTACTGGAGCAAAAAAACTTAATAATTTACTTATAAAATGTAAGTGTAAAAATGATCTGTTAATAATAATTGAGATACTTTCATTGTTAAAATTCAGGATAATTATTTCAAAAATTATATTACTAAAATACTGTTCTTAGAACTGAGGAAGGATGGTGTCGGCATTTAGACTGGGGTATCCAGAAAGCCTTGTGTGTCTGGGAGGTGACTGAATCCTGGGGCGCTATACTCACCCATGGATTACACCCCTGAGGTGTCCATCGCTGCCTCACGGGCAGGAGGTGGAGCCTGCTGGGAGAGATGGCCCTGGGTGTCACCTGGAAGGTCTCTCTCCCTCCCCGCTCCTCCCTTTGCTCTCTGGCCGCCATGATGTGAGCAGCTGTCTTCCATCCAGGCCCCTCCGCCATGCCGTTTGACACCAGCCTACCACGGACTGGAACCATGAGCCTGAGTAAACCCATTCTTCTTCGCATGGCTGAGGTGCTGGGTGTCTGGAACTGTGTCCCACAAATGGGAAGTGACCAAGACACATGGGCTGCCCTTATTTACTGGTCCTTAACACAGAGCTGATGCCAGAACATTCCCCGGACTGGGGCTTCCTTTCCTGCACCAGAGGCCACCTCATACTCCAGCGTGCCCACACGCCTGCCTCTTGCTGCTCCTGTGGTTGGCTGACATATTTGCCCTACTTGGAGAAAGGAATCACAGCGAATGAAGTCTGTCGCCCACACTTGACAGCTGAGAAACTGATCCCAGAAGGTGATGTGACTCACCCAAAGCCACAGGGTGTAGAGCACCGGTGAGGATCCGTGATTCTCAATTCCCAAACAGAGACAGTTGAGCAACGTCTCCCACCTGCTCAGGCCACTAACTGCTAATGCAGGCTCTCTGCTTGGCTTGGCCTGGGAAACCTGAAATGAGGGAAGACAGGGGAAGGAGGTAAAATGGGAGCGAGGGCAGAGGGAAGGGAGGTAGAAAGGGAAAAGAAATGGGGGGGAAGAAAAGGGAAGCGGAGAGGGAGGAGGAAAACACACTGAGGCTTAGTATTTCAGTAAGGCATCTGACTGACAGGAGATACCTACACTGAAAGGATTTCTGTAGTTTCAAGCAGGAAATAAAAGCATACGCAGCACTGTTGGTTTTGAGGATCTCTGAGTCCATCATTAGATCTCTTTGTGACAGGACCTTCAGAATGGAGGCTGCGTCTTTTAGGTGCTGCGGGCAGCTTGAGGTCAGCCTGCTAGGGAAGGGGCCCGGTTGTGCGCTAACTGGAGCCTCCCACCTGCTGATCAGTGAGGAGGGTACTTAGACGTCACCGTCTGGGGACAGGGTGTGCTCACCGACTCGGGCTGCACTGCTTCCGTCCCTTTTCTGTGGGAAGATGTTGGAAAACAAAACCCTTTTAAAAGACAGCTTCACACAGCCCCTTTGACTCAAATTTACCTTTGGTTGATATTTGGGTTTGTATCTCTTTTCTCTTACACTGCAAAAGCTTGGTTCTTATAACATAACATTTCTTTTCTCCTAATTCAGAATTACATACTGTTCTTAGTTACATACTACTATTTAATTACATGGAATTCAACTGATCTCCTAGAAGCACACACAGTCTCAGTTCTGAGCTACACCACCACATTAAGAATAGAGAATGGAGTAAAGTTTAAGATTTCTTTCTATTCGTTTATCCTTAGATCATAACCCACTCTGGGTGTATAATGAGGACACTAAAATAATTCTTTTCTCTACGTTGTTGCCGCATTTCAAATAAAGTAAGCTCATTTGTCCCAATTTGTTTTCCATTTTAGGATTTTATTTTTGTCTTTTTTATTTTAGTTTGTGAATACATAAAATATTTACATTGTGCCAACGTTACAGAGTGTACCAAAAGCTAACCGAACTCAGTGTCACTTCCAACCCCTTCCCTTTATCTCCTCCTCCTACTATAGAGAGCTCTTCTCATTCCTTCCTTTTTCAAATATAAGTGAATACCTAAATGTACCCTTAGGCCCTTTCTTCCTTCCCTTAAGCACAGAGCATAGCACACATCCCATGAACTGCCCTGTACTCGTATCTGAAGTTGAGAGATGTGTTCTTGAGGTTATTTCAACAACTCGTCTGCATCTCTGTAACCACCTGGCCTCCCGTTCTTGCATTTCCTACAGTTCACCCACTTCTTGGTGGGTATTTAGGTGCTTGCTAACCTCTTGCTACCACGAACAATATTGTGTTATTTAACCTTGGGCAAATAACCCAGTGAAGACATTTTCTCAGGGTAGATCCCTAAGATAGTGGGGTCAAAGGTTAACACATATGCAACTTCGAGTTTGTTCAGTTTTGTCAAATTGCCTTCTGCGGCGTCATCCCGCTTTGTACTTCTGCTCTCGATGCAATGTGGCACCGAACTTTGCCGTTTTGTGAGGGAGACAGACTCACTTCATGGTTCAGGAGCAACTTTCTCTGCTCTTTCTCTCTGGGCTTACATTTATCTCTGTTTATGACCCCTGCCCAGTTTTCGGCTTCTCCATATCTTTAGAGCTCTTCGTGTATTTGTCCTGTGAGACTGAAATTAAAAAAAAAAAAAAAAAAAAAAAAAAAAAAAAAAAAAAAAAAAA